CACATGCAAACGACGAAGGCAGTGAGGCAAGAAATTACTTACGAAGCTTCATCCCAGTTTGCACTCGGGTGTATATTTCCATCGGACCACCACAAATTTCGAAACTTTGTTAATACGTCATTGGATTTAGGAGGTTGGAAGGTAGCATCGCTATTATAATAAATTAAGAACAATTCTGAAGAATTAGCCTAATGGATTTATAATTACACGATCAATTTTAATTTTATTCACCTTGTCTTGGCAACAGAGCTTGCTGTTTCGCTTGAAGTTGTACTATCTCTCGAAGCTGAGCTATCTCTCGAAGTTGAGCTGATATATATGATTATTTAGAACTTAATTAGAACGACTTTCAAGAGTTAACCAAAGGATATTACACATAACTTGATGCCTCATTAGAGCTTGTTTCTTTCAAGGATGACCTTCTATAAGTGTTGTACGATGATTTACTGCAACCTAAAGTTGTCAATTTTTATGTTACAAAATGAAAAAGAGATCTGATCATCCTTGTAAGTTCATTGGCGATTTTATTATTGATGATTTTGTATCACGCTTTTTGTTCATCGAATCATACTCCAGATTTGTAGACCAATCAGATAAATCATAGAGACGGCCCATCAATTGACGCGCTGACATTTGTACCGGGTACTATTCAAGCAAGTTTGATCCTAATTTGAATAGTATCCTTGGAGGAGGGGGAATACTGCATTAGAGGATTAATTGCTTATTGAATAACACCCAGGTATAACCGTATAGCACAGACTAAAAGATCCTCCTTTTGACTTACTTCCATTATAATATATCCGGATACAGGTTTGTTCAAATACAATGGAATAAAATTTTTGTACAAATACAGTACTTGTAAATTCATACAATTTTTGTATTTTAGTACAGTAATACAATTAAATATAATAATATAAATTTTAATTTTAAAAGATATTGCATTTATAATTTTTATACAAAAATGATTCGGAAGTTATGCAACAATATGGTAAATATTATTAATGTATCGATTTATTATATATTTTATTGTATATTAATTAGATTTTTTTTTAGACTCGGTAAATCGGTAAATTAACTAGGGGTCAGGGCGACATTTATACCGTGAGATTTGCTATTAAAGTGGATTCCGAGAATTCTCCAACAATAATGAGATTTTGCGTTCCGATAATTATTTGTGTAAATTGGATCTTAGAAATGATCGATTTAAAACAAAATAATTTCTTTTTACAGTTCATATTATAAAATTAGTCTTGGATGATGAATTTTATAGCAAAGGAGATTTTTTTTTTTGATCATCTACTCAAAATAATCTCCTATGATTGGCTATTGCAGATCAATTTAAATTGGGTATTATTTATACAGTTTAAAGTACTTTTTAGAGGTGACATACTATACATAATAACGAAAGATATAAAATATTATATATATTATCGAAAGTCTTCCTATGATCTCAGAACCCGATTTTAATAGCTGGGAATAATTGTTCACAAGATTTTATTTAAAGTATTCTGTTGGATTTTATTAGAATAATTTTTATGTCAAAGGTGATTTGTAACCAATATATTGGACGTTTATGAAAAATTGTTCTCTTTAAAGCCAATTATGTTAAATATAAAAAGGTCACGTATTTGATAAGTTTCAGGAAAGTAATACACATATTCCAATTTCTCTAAATCGTACTACAAATAATACTTTTAATGAATTGATAGATAGATACTGGAAAGAAATAAGAGATTCATAAATTTACTACTAATGGTAAAAAAATATTTTTAGATAGTCCGGTGTCCGATACACAAAAAGTTTATCAAAAATTCACTAGCCTGAAATCTGAGGAATGCATATTCTAAAATTTGATAACCGTCTCACTAAATGGTCTTTCAAAATTCTCTGACTTTATTCTCGAATTTCTTTCACTAATGTGTACGACTCATTTCCAGCAACAGTGATAAAAGGATGGGTGTAACAAATTTCTGACATAGCGTTACGTTTATTAGACTCGGATAAAAAAAAATGTGTGAAAAGAACTTTACAACAAACTGCTGAAAATTATGAGGCTGAATATGCAGTTATTCTAAAACTGAGCAAGTCGAATTTGATCACAGAAAGTGAGAAAGTTATTCTGGTGAGGAATACAAGATAATGCATTACCCACTTGCTCCTTATAATTTTATTTCTTACCATAGGCTCGACATCATTTTAACTATTATGTACCCATTTTAAGCCAATCTTTACATGATGATTCTTTTAAATGGTTAACAGATTAGCAATCGATGTTCATATTACTTTGGACATAGTATGTATGAGTTAATAAGAATTTCATTTTGAATAATTTTAAATTGATGTGTTTGTATATTATGTGTAGTTTATAAGTCATCGAAAAATGTTCAACTTGCAATTATACTTTTCATTAAAAATGTAAAAATGCATCGCACAATAGTTTTGTGCTA